TTTTTTTTTTTTTTTGACGTGATTTTGCCACTATTCATTTTTACTCCTAAAGATCAATTTTTATATCCATCTTCTACATTTTGGCTATATAAGTTGGTTGTTTTTTTACCAAGTTTCAAACGCTTTTGACTCAACTATTTTATAAATCATTATTAGTTTTATTACGGCCAATGCTTTTCGTATTACTGAGGACCAAACAAAGGACATGCGGATGTTTCACCTTTTTTTTTCTTTTTTTTTTTTTGAGGGGATGTCTGTTAATAATTGATGGGGAAAATTCAAAAATATTTTCGAAATTGCTTCTGTACTTAAAAAAAAAAATTATTGTGAGCTTTTTTTCTTGTTTTCTCATATTGGTTTTGTAACGACAGTTTCCTTCCTAATTTCAATTTTGCTTCGGTAAAGTATTCTGTAAATGGCCTGTCTCGTCGCGCTATTGTTAAAGTGTTTGTTTATTTCTGAAGTGATATGCTGTTGTGGAAAGTAAATTGAATTTCTAGTATTTTGGACATGGGTTTAATGGAACTTGAAATATTTGATGAAGTACGGCGGATGAACATCCGCCAACTTCTCTATCAGGGACTCAACTTCGCTATGATTGTATCGTCAGCGTTAATGATTTGGAAGGGGCTCATGGTAGTAACTGGTTCAGAAAGTCCAATTGTTGTTGTTTTATCAGGTTCAATGGAGCCTGCATTTTTCCGGCAAGTTGTTTTTGGTTTGCTGCATAATTTGTAACTTTTTCGACATTTTCCCTGTTATTCTCATCCGATTTGTCAGTACGAAACTTGTGATGTAATTGAGCCTGCTAACAGTTGGTTTTAGACGTGTACAATTATTGTATTATTGAATTTACCAAGTTTCCTATCGTTTAGTGGTGATTTACTGCTTCTAACAAATGATCATTCGGATCCCATTCGTACCGGTGATATTACCGTCTTCAAAATTGACGGTCGAGATATTCCAATTGTTCATCGCGTAATTAAAGTTCATGAAAAAACTAACGAAGATACAAAATTCTTGACAAAAGGCGATAACAACCAGGTCAATTTTTTAAAGACAGATTTTAGAGAAACGCTTCTCTTCTTCTTGTTTTGTTAATTTCATTTTTTTAATTGTAATCACAATGTTTTTGCCGTGTTCTACCAGTCTGTTTACCGGCTTTGCGTGACAACGCTTTCGTGTTTATTTCTGTCGGAGGAACATGATGACTTATAAGGATTTTTCCTATTAAGGTTGATGATCGGGGTCTATATGCTCAAGGTCAGTTCTGGCTAACACGAAAGGATGTTGTAGGACGAGCCAAAGGATTTGTTCCATATGTTGGGATGGTCACAATTTTGATGAATGATTATCCAAAGCTTAAGTATGCTTTACTGGCCGCTTTAGGGGCTTTTGTTTTGTTGCACAGGGAATAGAAATATGCTTATGAGTGGTACGCTTTGTTTACAATGCTTCTTTTTAAATAAATCTCTTTTGGCGTTTCACCTTGTCCTTTTTGTAGTCGTTACTATTTCGATGCTGTTAAAAATTATGAGATCTAACTTCCGGTATTTTAAGGTAAAAACGGTATAGTAATTCTTTACTTTTCAAATCTGTGCTGTTTTTATTGCAAACAGTGGAACTTGGGTAGTAATTTTATTATTCGTTATTCTTCCCTTTTTCTAGGTTACTCATGAGTGGATTTCATGAGAATGTCGTTACTTTTTTCGTTAAGCAGGCACTTTTTTTTGTGCAGAAGTTGTGTACAATGTGATAAATTGATAAAGCTTATTTCTTTATTTCTTTATGCTGGTTGTCATGTTATTGTTGGGTTTTGTAAAAATAAAGCTCGTTATTCTTTTCTATTGTGTCTAAAAAACGTTGTAAAGTTGTGGGAGAGTCAAGTTGTATTTCATGTTTCTTGTTTTCCTCGCTTAACTTTGTGGTAAATTAATTTTTCTTTGCTTTGAGCAGTTTGGTACTTGGTTTTAGACACTGGAAGGTTGGATTTTTACTGAAGTTCTAAAAATAGGACATTAAGAGAGGTGACGGCAGTGGAAGTGTAATTGTCTGGCGATGTGATTGGCACGCGTCGTTCGGAAGTTAGCTATACTCAAAATAGTTGTAGCAATGTCTTCTCGGAAGTTGTTTTCGGAGGAAGAGAAGAAGACGCAAATGCAGTAAGTACTTCCGGTAAAGGTGCTTTTCACTTGGCGGTCAGGGTAGTTTTAAATTGATTTTGTGAGTCGGAAGCTGATAGTCAACTGTTGGTTTGTATTTTCATATGGGAGGATTCGCTTGAAATTCTCGTAGAGTTTTTGAGTCATTGTTCTTCTTGTGTTTTTAAACTTCAGAACCTTTTTGGAAAAATGCGAACACGTAGAAAAAAAATATAGGGGATCAAGCTTATCGGATATAATGGACGGAGAATACCACTTAATGCGTTCACGGTAGTTTTTTGATTTTATTTTTAAAGTTTATCTTTTTGCATTCTATGAAAAGAAGAGGGATTGAATAAATCGAGAGTTTTGTTGTTTACGGCCCGGCTTTAACATTTACAGCTCTTTTTAGGAGCAAGGTTTTTGTTTGTGTTTAGCAGGTTCTTGTGTATTATCATTTTTTAAAATTTTAATCATTTTCAGCCTTCAACGATTGGCGCGACCTCTGCTTAATGATTCGAAGTACAGGCAAAGGGTTTTAGAAGCTCTATGGAAGAGTTCATTTTACAGTTTAATTTGCTGTATGAGAGGTGCATCTCTTAATGATCAGCAAAAAGGCTGGTGTGACATGCAAATAAGTAAGAGTGTCAATTTTTTATTTGACACTGTCATTTCATCTCAGTATATTGAATCGAGTATTACATTAGGTATACTCGTTGGAGAAATGACAAGAATTAGTATCGAGTTTCCTGATCTTCAGAATGCTGTGTCTATCTATCTTGGTGATTTGCGCAGGTATGCGTGGCTGTTTTTTTCTCGAAGGCGGGACCAGATTCTAGCAACGCTTCATTACAGGTTACTACTTCTTGCCTTATTTTTCATCATTATTTAGTAGCTGTGGTGGCTAATGTTTTTTCCCTAATTCTGGTCTTCAGCATGCTTTTATTATATTTGTTTCAAAGTGTTTTAATTTTCTTATGCTTTCTCTTCCTCAGCTGGTTTACGAAATCACATCTGTTTACTACTGTAACTTTTAGAAGTGTGGCTGAGATGGATAATGGAGGTGGTATCGTTTATAATCAACTGGGATTATTAGTTCAAGATTCGGAGCCGATCAAAGCTCTTCTATACTTTTTCTTGGCTTATTCATTTCCTAATCGGCCGTTTCATGGTGCTTTTGCTAATATACTTGGTCTACTAGCAAAAAAAACTGCAATTCTTGACGATCCAGTCGTTGCTGTGATTGAACATTGTTTGACAACTTTTAGGTATTTTTTAAACTTGTTTTGACTTTAATTCTAACGGTGCAAGTGAGAAATGAGTTGTTTTTCTCACATCATAAACTTTATATTTAGTAGAACTGTTTAATTTTCTGAACGCTGAATCACTTGGGAGTCCAGTTTTTAAGAGACTTCGTCATCATTAGGTCTTGAAATTTTTCGAGAAATATTGGAAAGGATTTAGTTTTTTGGAATTATTGTTAAAAATAGAACTTTTCTTTTTTTTTTTTTTTTGAAGTTGGTCCTAAATAGCCAGTCTTCTTTACTTACTAACCTGTACATTTATTTTTTAGTGAGGTATCAAGTTATTTTCTCTGACTGAGCATCTTGCTAACTGATGCGAAGAGAAAGAAGTGATGACTGCTGGGAGGCCGAGTTTGATCTGCTTTCAGTTTTCTTATCCAAACTAATTCTGTTAATTGTTTTAGTCGTTATGAATTTCAAGATTTAATGACAACCGGTTTGGAACACATTCAGAGCCAGCTTGATACGAAAGATGCTTTTTATGTTTCTTGTTCTGTCAGCCTTCTTATTTTAGCTGTCCTGGCTTTGTTTTCAAAAGGTATATGGTACTTGTGGGGATTTGCTCATTTTTGCATCTGTTAATTATAAGAACTCGAGATACCACCCTATTTTTTAAGCTCATAGTTTCATTCATTCTGGAAACTTTTCAAAATTTAGACAAACAGAATGAAGCCCGAAGTGTGATAGAAATGCTATTGAAAACTGCGGAGGATACCCTAAAAACCCTAGAGGAATGGACTCCAATCAAAATTTCTGGGTCTCGTCGAAGACGTGCTTCAGAGGCGGGAAAAGAACGATCCGATAATAGTAGCAGTGAGTCATTTGGAGTGGAGGAAGACAATGACGAAGGCGTTGTTGAATTGGATTCAGACGATGGCATTTGTATGTGTGGTAAGATTGGAGAATTTGACGGAAAGTTTACAAAAAACAAAGACGAGCAAGAAATGCAGATGCTTCAAGTGGCTTTGCTCCATTTTGCAGTTAGCACTGCACCTTATATATACAATGGTAAATCTGCTCCTGCTGCAATGAAGCATGTAAGACTTCGCATATTGGTTTAATTTCTGACCCATTTATTGGTGATTTTTGTAGAAAGCGGTTTTTAGCAGTACGAAGTTTTTTGCCAAAACATGTGTCGTCACTTGAATGAGGCAAACTACGGTCTTAGCTCATCGACGCATCTTCCCTTATGGTATCTTGGTACTTCCGACTCCTTTAAGCTTCTCCCAAGGTTTTTGGAGGAATTCGCAATGGCTGAGGACACGCCTGTCCATTACGAATGCTATTTTCGTTTTATAACAAGGAGCGCGCGTGAGGAACTTTTGATGAAGAATATGGCAAAAATGCGTCTAATTCACGAGACAAAGGAGGTATTTTCTCTTTACTTTTTACTATACACCGAAAGCGACTGATGCATTATATTTTGAGCTTTTTTAAGGAAGAAGCACGAGCATGGGTTCCTGTTTATGTTGTTCCTGAAAAGGAAGTGCTTATACAGCGACCTGGAATTTTGAAGGGCATTGTGAAAAATAGTAAAATAATAGTGGTCATTGCTGAAGACACTCTTAGAGAGATGGATAAGTTAAAAAAAGAAAAGGCTGGCGCACGAGAAGCCATACGGTAAGTATTAACATTTTTTACTACTGAAAAGTTTTTTACATCCATTTTCAGTTTTATCGAGAATCAGGTTTCTGATCCTGCCAGACGTTTGCGCATTGAAAACAGCTCTTCTGTTCAAGAGTGTGCAGAAAAGCTTGCTTCTCAGACTCAGTTAACAGATGCAGTTATTGTTGTTATTCTTACGATGTCGAAAATAGACAACAAAACGGTGCCGAGATGTTAGTGTTTTGAAAGTGGTTTCATAATTGTAATTAGACAGCAGAATGCACTTCTTAATTTGCATCTTTTTTTTTAAGTCGAGCATTTTTAGCTTCTATTATGACATTGAATGCAGAGAGGTTTTACAATTCTCTCAATTAGAGCTGATCGAACGACCATTTTCAATTGGAATCCAATTGTAGGTAACGGGCTGAAAACTCAGGTGGGATGTTTGTGTATTGTACCCTCTTTGGGGCGTTAATTATTGTTATTGAAAACTTAGATATCGAGAGTACAATCGGTAACTGTCACTTATTGATTAAATTCGTAATCTTTTCGTAATATTTTGCCGCTACGTTCATATTCCGTGTACTCATTTTGCTTCTACGTGGTTACAGGAATTCTATCCTGCTCTGTGAAAAAAGTTTGGTTTTCGATATGGTAAACGACGCTCTTCAAACCGACTTGATCTTTTTTTCTGAGAAATGAACAGCTGCCTATACCGATCAGAACTTTTTCAATGCAGGATGGAGGAAAGGAGGTGCATCCATCGTAACACTGTACTCCGGCATATTTCATAGAGCGCCGCTATGCTCTGCTTCAGTTCGTTTCACCACAGTCTGCTGGCGGGTTTTTGTGCTATGATCTTGTTGTGGAAACGTATCAGAAAGTAAAAGAAACATCTTTACATTTATTCGTAGGAGAAAGCGTGCAAAATTCTAAAAATATTTCTTGGTGGCACAGCTCTAGGTTACAGGTAGTAAGAGTATTACTTGTGGCAAACGGGTCCCTTGCCAGCTTGTTTTAACGGAAGCAAGGAGTTCCCTTAAAGATGTTTTGCTTTATTTCTATTCATCGGTAATGGAGCCTGCAAATTAAATGACTCCGCTCTTACCATTTCTTGGGTTTTTGCCAACCTCCGTCATTTTTCAAACCTGCATGCATCTTGATATTTCAAAAGCATCAGTCTGCCAATAAAAAATTTTGCTCTGCTTAAATGAAGGCCGCTAGTTCCAGCTTCCGCAGCCCTGATACGGCGCTGTTACAACTGGATCAAAAATTACTTTATAGTGGTATTGAAACGTCAAACAGCAGTAGAGCTGTGCCTGTGAAAAGTGCTGATCGACATCTTCCGGTAGTTCAGCAGTAAGGTAGGATCCCATGTAGTATCCTCATTCATATTTCATTCTGAGGCCTAAGCTTAAGCCAGTAATATTGAAAAAAAAGGAAGACATGAAGAGTAGCGTCATAGATAGTTTCAATATGAGCTTTCCACTAGGATCGTGGATACGGACGGGAATACAGTGTCTTGTGTGTTGGCTGTCGAAAAGCTTGACTTCCCGAGACAAGGGGAGGTTGGTGGATGTCTGGATCTGCATAACTTGAAGCTTCACGCTACTCGATGGAACTTAATGTGGTACGGTTTGATCAGCAGCCCTTGTTTAAAGCCATTGTTCACAGTGGGACTGGAAAGAAAGCTGGAATAGATTTGGAAGTTCTAAACAGCTGCTTCTGGGACCTATAATACTAACCTACAAAAAAAAAATCACAGGAAGCACCTTCTACAGGCTGCAACGGTAGGTTCATTGTCGTACCTCCAAAACAAAAAATTTCAACGCAGAGGAAGCTAAGGCGGAAATAACACCACGAGCACTTTAATTACAAAAGTGAGTTTCATAACCCGTTTTTAGGAAAAATGACATGCCACTGTTTATTTTGCCATGGGAAAAAAGAGTCATTATTTTCACACTAAAATAACAACGGTAGCATTAACAATTACTAAATTAACGTTCCAGATAGTGACAGACCATAATGTTAGGTTACCGTGGTAGTGGGGGGGAACAAGAAGAACGTCCATATAAGCCTGATAAGAGCTGTTGGTATTACTTTTCTTTGCCACTTCCCAATGCTTCGGTCTGCTCTGCGTCACTGCTACTTTCCTCTTCCTCATCTTCATCTTCTTCATAGTCCTCGTCATCTTCACCACTGTCCTCGTAAGCCTGCTCACTAATGTGGAAAATGCTACATTAGGTAGAAGAAGTTTTGAAATGTGAGTATTAGTGCCTACTTTGTGCCAAAGCTGCCGTAACCATAATTGCTGTAATCACCTTCTTCGTCGTCGTTACCGCCACCCGCTTGCCTTCCAAATGCATGCTTTCGAACTAAAATTATGAGAAACTGTTCGATTTACTAGACGAAAGGGATTGTAAAAGCCTACTGGAAACACTGAAGTCCTTCGTTTCGCTTGTAGGGTAACTACATTTTGGACATGGCAGTATAGATGCTGTCTTGTCGTACTTGAAACCTTTCCTTCTCACGTGTTCTTCACAGAAGCATATTTTACAACGCATGCAGGTGTACTGACCAAGACGATTGCATGACATACCTGACATTCCTTATTGAAAAAAGGCAAGGAATTTGGATTTGGAAGAGCAAAGTAAATCCAAAATTTTCTGCATGGAATTTAAAAAGCCTTGATGCCTTTGAAATTTAGATAGTGGTGGTCCGCTAACATTTATAATTTTCGCTGTCTAACTGTTGGCAACTCGCTTGATGTTCAAACTGATCGTCTTCACAAAGGAAGTTTTGACAGAAACAGCATTTATACATACAACCACCTAAATCAGCAAATTTTTAGTGATATGAACTATTCATGAGAGGCAACTTAATCAAGGGTTGATTAGAGTGCCTGTTAAGTAAGTAGCACAGCGACGCATGGCTATCTTTTACTGAAAAAATTTAGGCAGTTACAACCTTACGCTCGTCTGCAGGAGCTTACAACAATTTTTATTTCACATAGTTCACGCCGTAACAAGATGCCACACTTTAAGTACTTTGCCGGAGAGGCTTAAATATAGAATGCGAGCTCCAACTAAAACTTGGATCTAAATAAGGCTTAATTGTCCTCAAAAACGACCGCTACACTTCTAAATTTAACAAAAAACGAACTGGCGATTACACACTATTTCGTTCACACAGACGACCTAATTCATCTACTAAACTGCCATCCAAATCATGCTGTCACTGGAAAAAAAAAGCAAAACTTTCAGAGCACATACGCGCGTATCAGGTTAGCAGATCAACAGAGAAACAAAGCTGGCAATAGATATTTCCTTCAATCTTTGATTACTCCAATTTAACTTTCCGTTTCTATGGCTCGAGAAGAGAGAAAATATAATTTTTTCTTTCAAGGAATTTTACAAATTGCCAGTTAATGAGAGTAAAGCACAACACTACCGTGTTCCCATACACCTCTTTTACACTCAATGCATTCGGCGTCTCGAAGGGGGCAGTTACAAGCATGAGTTGTCAGACACTTCCGTCCATGACAGATGAAGGCCTCACAAAAATCGCAGATGGCTCCAACCATTTGTAAACCTAAAAGAAACCAGGTATACGCAAAGGCAAGCAAACTCTATTTTTAGCTATGGATCACTTAAAGGTTAAACACTTATTTCCGAAACACCCTCTATTAACGACTCCTAATATCTCCTTCACTTTTCGGTCGATTTTAAAACAACTCAAATTACAAGCTAACCAGTAGTGTATCTTCCGCCGTGTTTCACTACACAATCTCCAGTCTTCATCATACATTTCTGTTTACCGCACTGAGCACAAACTGGTAATTTGCACAAAGTATTACAAAAATAACAAAACGCTCTAGTCTTCTGGTCTCGAAGACATCCCTCACACTGCTGCAAAAAGTTAACTGCCACTGACTTGTCCACATCGACTTGACAAGGCATGAAACAAAAATATAAACCAACTAACCATCGTTATATTGCACGGATGAGTACCTAGATCTATTTGGTAACTTGCTGCACGAATTTTTTTCTGCACCTCACGCCTTTTTTCTGCTTTTTTTCGGGCGGCCGACTTCTTCTTCGGCATTTTTTAGATATGCTGCAATTTTAAAAAATAAACGCAGAAAGTCAACCAGTCTACTTAAATTTATGACGTTTCATCAGTTCGTTGTAAATCTGCAATTCCAGTTTTTGAAACATTTTAAAGAAGTAATTTCATTAATATAAGCAATTATTTGACTGGTGAGTGCCCGATGCGTTTACGACCGAACACATACCACACTTACAGTAAGATTGAGTACCAAATCTGGTACGACAATAAACAATACAACGGTGGCTAACTACATATAAAGTTTAATAAAATTTCACGTAAGGATTTTTCAGAGACCTTTTGAAATGTAACAAGAACATCAACAAATTATAATCAGCAATAACCCTGTTTAGCGTAAGCCTTTCTTAACACTGCTGAGGATGAAAAGTAATATCAATATAAAAATCATTTCAATAATACCAATGAATGTTGGGTTTAAACATACAACAGAGCCGTCAACGACAGCCGAATCATAATAATTAACAGAGGATGAATCGGTCGAAAAGCGGATGTTTGCAAATTAACTATCAAGAAAAGTTCAATACAGTTAAAATGACATCAAAGACTTGTTTACTAATTTCACCGCACTCACAACAAGAAAATCTTCAAAACTACCCGTGGAATATCTGCAAGCGTAAGTGTATAAATCCCAAAAAATGTTGACGTCAACCTTCCGCTGCTTCCAGTGAGTTCTTTGTCTCCGACTGTATAGGAAAATTCTGTTTAACTATCTAAAATGGGCCAATTATCAGTTCGCATAGAGCATACAACGTCGGAAACCTATTTTGTGAACTTTATCAAGCAAGTGAAAGATACAGCATACTTCGACAATTTCATTGACTTGTTCTTCAGTTAAACGTTCTTCACATTCCTCGATAACTAACTGCACCTAAAACTTCTTCGTATTAGAAAAGGATTTTCTATGGTTGTCAAAATCAAACAAGCTTTGTAAAAAGCCATTACTTTAAATAAACAAGTACGCCACAGTTCGAGAAACTAAATGAAAGTCAAGAACTATAATACATGAGAGATATTTTTTTACCTTGGAAAGTTATGGATACCTAGGGACACACATTCTTAAATTAAAAGATTATCTAATTACAAATTCTTCAACCTCTGTGACAAAACATTGCAAATATTAGACAGTATCTACTGAAATGACTATATAATTACCTCAACCGCAGTTTTAGGCCTTAAATTGATCAGCTGCAATATTTCGGCTCCAGTAAACTAAAAAGGTTATAAAATTAGTAGGCGAAAAACAACCAATGAATAAAGTACCAACCTCTTGGAGGATCTGTTAATAATTGTTAATAATATCAATTACAAGTCTCCGAGTCACACTTTTTAAAAAGTAATGCAGTGGAAAACCTTGTAAGGACTTAGTGCTCTAATAAGCGATTTGATCTGCTCTTCTGTTTGAGTTGCTGCTGGAGACCCTGACAGATACGTTAAAGTCTGCAAAGAAACACTGAAGATGCTGCTTGAAATCTTCTCAGAGTCAACAGTAATGCAAGGATCATTAAGAACCTACTGGTCTCCCAACAAATGAACTCTCACAAACACATTTGTTCGCATATAAATGGCATCTCTTCCTTCCTCCCCCCAACTCCAACCAGAGAAAGAATGGATCGAAATGTGGCAGATATACCACACCACATCTAATTAAACACTTGCTACTTTTGAAAAACTCAATATTAAAAACCGTCTTCATCCTCATACAGTTTCAATTTACTATACTTCTAATGGTGAGCGGTGTGGCGCAGCGGATTTGTGATCAGTAACGTTTCAACACCGCAACCTTAAGAACGTAGGAATTGGAGCCCATTCTCCAACAAGTTTATCACTCCCAATTTTTCTTTTCCCAAACCAAATACATTCAAAAAGTCATACAACCCAAAAATCTATATGTCCAAACCAAAAAGTGATTAGAGGAGGCTTTCCAGAACATGAGTTTATACAATTATATCGGAAAAATTCTTGCAGAATTCCAAAATACCGTGCCAGGCAAAGAAAAACTATCCGAAAATGAGCGACATGAGAGAAGGTACTGTTGAGAGAAAAATTATATTTTTTGAGTCATTTTACTTTCCTTCATTATCTTTTATTTTTTCCCCTCTCCTCACAAACCATCTTACTTTTTTTTTCTCTTCATAATGATTCCTCTACGAAACTGGCTTCCGTCATATACTTGCCGGAAGCGGAGAAAGATGAGAGGGATTAAGAGGGAGGGGGGGGGGAAGGGAAGGGCAGTCACAAAAACTCTCTCTCTGTGAAGATTCGACAGCCTTAGTTACCACATTTGAAATGCTCCTCCTAACTTCATAACAATCTTGCAAACCGCTAGTACGAGTTACTGCGAAAGCGAGGAACAGGACCAGCAATATTTGAAGCAAGTTAAGAACAATTCTCAAAAATACTTAAAAGCACAAACCTCATAAATTACCGTTCTTAATGCCGGACTAGCACGATGATCTTTCGGTGCGGAAGAAAATGCTTTTTTTTTCTCAACAACAATATTGTAAACTTCAGCATTCGTTAACACAGTATTTTGTGGATCCAATATCTCCATCTGGCCGAAACTGATTGAATGTCAACGTTCAGTTCAAAACTTTGCAAAGTTTAGTAAGGGCTGAAAAAAGAAAAAAATAATAAAGGAACGATGACTGCCCAATGCATACCAGTGTACAAATACAATGGCTAAACCGTTTGTATGCAAAAGTAAAGTTGGTTCTTAGAAGTATCAAAAAGTAATGGATAAGCGCCGATACCAATCATCCTTAGATTTTTCAAGGCAGAATCCCTAAACCAATCATTTTATTATTATATTAAAGGCACCAACAACCAAATGCGACACAAAGTGTACCTTAAAAACAGAACCTTCAATTAGCAGGTTTATTTCCCGGCACTTCATTGATGAAAAAGAAATTGTTAATTTCTCAAAAGAATCCAACAAGTAATCAGCAGCACCATCACTCAGTATACACTGCCCACAATTTACAAACTCCAATTCCCTGGCAGTCAAGAACATTGAACAGGAAAATTTCCTAACCACATTCTGGGTAAGACTAACTATTTGGTAGAAGTATCGACAAAAAAGTTACAGCCGTTTCAGATTTCTCAAGAAGGTCAGATTTAAAAAAATGAGAAACGAGATTAGACGACGAAATAACAATTTATTACCTTGCAAGCACATGAATGATTTGATTACTCAACCATCAACATATCGAAACAAACGCACACAAACAGAAGCTCAAATAAATCTAAGAATAAATACAGAAAGAAAAAACTCTCAGAATACTTTGCGTTCAAATAAGTTGACTTTTAACAACAGATGTATAATCAAAAAATCACAACATTTGTAACACATCGCCGAGCAACAAAGCAGTACTTCAAAAACAACTAGAAGAAATTCAAGAAAAATGAGAATTATATAAACACACGCATCGCACATAAACAACGTATTAAACTGAGAAAAATAATAAACAAGTAGAATCGGATATCCAAAGTTCCATTAGCAACAGTAAATGGATTTGTAGAAAAGTACATTGCACGGGCAACTCACAACAGCTTCCCGTTCACCAAGCATCGTTGCCTAAACAGACCTGCTGATACAAATAATACATTCTATAAAATACAGTGAAAATATAGTCCATCAAATCATTTCTCCACTTGGAAGGAACAAAAATGTGACTCATGCAAAAAAATAATACAAATAATCATACGAGAGTAGAATAATACAAAGACAATAAAGTTGAAGAACGAATATGCCGAAACCAAAGAAAAAACACTCAAATACTTGAAGGAAACGAGTGGCAGTTAATATTGAGCAGCTAAAAGCAAAATGTCAAAGCGCAGCTTAAAGGATAGTCAACGTTACAAAGCTTAGATCATCGCAGAAAAAGACTTTCGTTCTTATGTACAAAAAGACAAAAAACACGAGTTGCAAAATAATATAGAATTAGAGTATATAAGTATTATGCTTCAAACCCCGTTTCCAAACGAAAGGCCTGCTCTAGTAACAGCAAATTATTGCTTCCGTTCCTTTTTCATTATGTACAAGCGCCGTCATCACGTCTTTACAATTCAGTCGACCTTCACCATCATTTTACCGATATTAACGCCCTTCATCATATCCACAAATGCCTGCGGAGCACGTTCCAAACCTTCATAGATCGTTTCTTTCACCTGAAAATTAAGTACCTATCTTGCTATTTACAGAGATCAAAAAAAAGGTTGGTGTCTCCCCTTACATATACTTGAAATTGTACCTTGATTTTGCCTTCCTGTAGCCATGCGGACAGCTGCGCCACAGTACTATCCAAGTCGTCCCTATACGCCAGAACCATAAAACCTTCTCTGAATAAGATCAAGACTCAAAGTGCATCAAAAAATGAACCTTTCAAAAAACTATTTGCATTTTCTTTAAACGCTTTCCAAGACCTTTTGCATTTTCAAAACAATTAAAATTTCAGCACTTTTGTTCATACACACGAGTTGCCCGCGCGGCATAAGTCCCGAATTACAAAAGAAATTAAAATTATGTATAGCAATATTAAAAATTTACAATAATAAATTTGCTAAAAAAAAAACAAAAATGCAGCTCTGAAAAAAGAGAACGAACCAGTTTTAAAACAACTAACCTTTTAATATTCTTCTGAGCAATAATTTCCGCAGTTTCTTTAGGAATCGGAAAAGGATACGGCAAATTCGTGTTGTACAGAGAAATCTGTCCACAAAGCACCACTCTTCCCCCATGATTCATCTAAAATCGAATTAATTCGTTAAAAAGAATGGGATTCACATTCGTAATTACACATGACTGCAACGGGAAGCAAAGTGTACTTGAGCTATTACTGCATCGCTAACAAAGCCGCCAACATTATCAAAATAAATGTCAACCCCTTCTGGGGCAAGACGTTTCAAACCATCAAGAACGGCTTCTTTTTTGTAGTTAATTGCTCCATCAAATCCTAATTCTTCCAGCAAGACTTGACACTTGTTGTCCGAGCCACAAATTCCTATTACTTTGGTACACCCCTCTAATCGAGCACACTGGAACATCCTACCATTGGGGAAATCGAGAAATGTTGCAAACGCAGGAAAAACTACTTAATGTGAACATTTAAAAGGCATATTAAAGTATACCGAATTCCCCTTCTCATGGAATTAACAGCAAATCAGGAGGGGAATTAGCTAATAAAAAAATTTTCAAAATTCCCTGAAGAAAACTGTAAACTCAGTCAGACAAATAGAAAAAGCGAAACGAACTTGTCCAGCCACTGACCCACAAGAGCCAGCAGCTCCAGAGACAACGAAAGTCTGTGGGCGCCTTCGATCAATTTCTGCTTTTTTCCTTATACCTAGCAAAGCTGCCATAGCTGACAAACCAGCGGCACTCAGCACAACTGATGGCGAGTATTCTGGAGGCAAAGTCACCTAAATCAGTAGTCATTAAAGGATATTTTCCAAACAAAATTTAAAAATTCAAAGAGCTAGAATAAACAAACTTTCATCAAGTCAGCTTGGTCAGCAACGAAGAGCCTACTCCACGGCCACAAACGCCCAACTGAAGTCACTAAATCACCTACGTGTAAGGCACACCTAAATCGAAAAATTCTCAAAACTATAACTCAATTGTAAACGAAAAGTTATTTTACAGAAAACAAAGAAACGCTAAGAGAATCTACCATACAAAGATCTCTACAGAGAAGTTACAAACGTTAATGAAGTCATTTCAACAACACCAATCCCTTCCTGACCATCCACCAGATTACCAGGTTCAAACGGTTCCAGGTGATCGAAACCTGTGGATTTATTCATGCGAAACCTCTGAAAACCAAAATGTCACCGAGCAGAAAGTGGTTCCATATAATCCTGGTAGTTCTCAAAACAAACCTGGGTAGCATCTACAGCAATATAGAGAGTCCTAACAATACACTGCCCTTCTTCAATATCGCTCCGATTTGGCGAAGGACACACGTCACAGAGAAAGCAATCAGGTGTAGGAAAGCTATTTTCGCCTAAAACTATAGCGAATAATACAACCGCATAACAGTTACTTAAGGCATAAGAAACTCCTCATTTCCGAGCTAACAAAACTAATGACACCAAATAAGAAGCCAAATAAACCATCAATGCCAACCAAATTCGAAATAATAATAACGAGAAAGAAATTAATAAGGAACAAAACGACCCTCAACAGTGAAAAACTGAAAGAGAGCCTCTACTGTGAGTGTATCCCAGCCTTTTCAACTCTTAAAAGTTAAGTCACAAAGATGTTTGATCAAAAACTACAAATACTGATTTCAAAACAATTAACCTGGTCGTTTTACAAAAATCACTCTTTGATTAAATGATAAACGGGCTTCAACATCGTCTGCTATGCAACTCGAGGAACATGATTGTTGGTCAAAAGGATAGTCCATCTAAAATAACAAAAACGCTTGCATGCCACTCCGAAGCTGTCATGTATTAATTCCTAAATTCGTCTAGAACGAAAATATACGTATGAAAAGAACAAGTAGCACTTTCTAAAATTCAAGAAAATGGAAGGAAGCATTGACAACAGCAAAAATAATAACCATAAAAGTATAACATTGAACCAAACTGCTATAATCGAAAAGATCAAGATTCAAACAGAAGCACATATATACTCACACAAAACTTAAAAAATACGCATTACATGTAAATACATTACGAAGAGACAGGAAAAGCAATTTAAGTGAAAGCATATGCTGCAGTAGCATCAAGTCCAACCATTAATAAACACTAGAAAAAAAGAAAAAAAGTAATCCACAGTGGG